CACACAGCTCTCCGTACTCAGCCGAGTTGAGCCTGCCGGAGCCAGAGCCTGCCAGGGCTGCAAGGAGCACTGGGGGGTGGGGGGGAGGGAAGCCCAGGGGATGGCCAGTCTGCCCACCCCCCTGAGGACCAGGCTCCTCACTAAGCTGGCTCAACAGGCCCAGGGTGTGTCCCCATGAGGGGATGAGGGCCGTGGTACCACCAGCACTCCTAGGGTCCCCAAGTGTCCCACATTCCACAGAGAAGCTAACAAGGTGCTCTGAGGGGCAGGGGGCCAGCCTGGAATGCCTGTGTGAGTTGGGGGTGGTGGAGAGGGGAGCGGGGAGCAGGTGGCTCCAGACCTCCCATCAGCGCATCTAGGGTCCGGCCCTGTACCGCTGTGACACACGCAGGACCTGGGGGTGCCCGCGCCGAGCCCTGCCCAGCCATGGGTCCTCACACGGGTCCCTGGTTTGCAGGTATGAAGTTTGCTTGTGGCAGGGCTGCCAACCGGTGCATCCCAGTTGGACCCCCAGCAGAGACATACCTTTCCACCCCAGATAATCCTGAGTCGGAGTTGGCATGTGAACCACATCCCCGGGAGATGCTTTTTTTGTTTTTTTTCTTTGCTTTTTGAGCTTTGTTAAAGTTTGGATTCTGATGCAGTCTAGCTGTGTGTGCGTGTGTGTGTGTGTGCACCTGTGTTCATGAGTGTGCTCTCGGGCCCAGGCCAGCGCCACCTAGCTTACCTGATGTCAAAGGCCTCCACGTGGGGGTTGGTGCTGGCCACCCGGATGGTGAGGAACTGTACGGGTAGGGTTGAGTCCGGCGAGAGCTCGTGCTGCCGTGACTCTGTGACGGTCAGGTGCACGTCCTGTTGCTGGGCCACGTGCACGTGGTACGTAGTCACCTTCATCACCCAGGAGTCTGTCACGACCACTCGGGCTCCCGGCGCCCCCGTGGCAAACTTGTCGACCCGCCGGAACTCCGTGTTGATAGAGGAGGCCACAGCCCTCCAGCCCGACTGTGGGAGGGCGTGGTGCGCCAGGGTGCGGGCCAACGGGTGGCCAATCCAGTGGTCCCGAGACCAGGCACGGGTGAGGATGCAGGCGGCGGCAGGCAGGGTCACTGCCAGCAAGAGGAAGGTCTTCCAGATGCCCGGGGCCTGGCTGGGCACATAGAGCTGCTTTTCTGAGGCAGCGAAGCACATGCCCACGTAGTAGCCTGCAGGAGACAGGCATGCGTCAGGTAAGGGACTGGCCAGGCCACCGTTCACCCGTGTCCACTGAGGGCCATATGGTGCTATCCCTGCATCTCCAGAGAGGGACCGCATCATCTCTGGTCCCCAGCCCTGGTCACTAGAGGCTTGGACAGCTCCCAGGATGAAGCTGCAGCTCCCAGCTCTGCCTCCTGGGCATAGTGAGGTGGGGCAAAGGCTCCTTATTTACTAAAGGGGTTTGATGTACATAGTAACAAGTGCCAAAGAAGTTAGAAAGGCCTAGGAGGGTGCAGACAAGGGCCTGGTGCCACACCACCCTGAGATGACCATCCTTGG